GTCGAGAGCAGTAGCTCATGCAGAGATGGGGAAACGCAGGCTCGAGGAGCTTCAATCCCTTTGACCGACACACCCAAGAGGCAAAGGAGCTGGGATCCAAGTGCAGTTGTCTGGGTCAGTGTAACTCCCTGACGATGCAATATTGAGATTCTGTTAAGTGTTGGTTCTGCTTGCGCTTGTATCCCACCCAAGTCTGCAGGCGTGGCTTTCATTCCACTGACATGCAATGGCTTGATGTATGTCTCCAACCCCAATGACTCCCTTGAACTCTGGACTTGAGTGGCCAATGGCTCTCTCCACTGTAGCTCTTCCAAAACGCAGCTGCTCACCGAGTCTAGCCCATCCCAGTAAATGGCAACCTAGTTGGGCCATTTTATAGCCACTCCACCAACAAATCTGTTGGCTCCATCTTGGAAATATATCTGGAATTCCGGAACTCTGGGACAAGCCTCCATCATAACTCACCTATTGGCAATAGCCTCCTAGCTTCTAGTCTTGTCATATGATGGCCGGATGGTTCGTGTACAACGCAAATCAAATCAGTCATTCCTCCGAGTCCTTACCTCGCCCTACAGGACCTGGAAGCATCTACTTGTGTCTACCCTTCCCCGCGAGGAAAAACAAAACCAATTTCTTCCCCAACCCCCCTCCTTCCCAAGGACCACACATCCTGCAGCCTCTCACCCTCGGCAGCCCCCCGGCAGGCTGGGCCTGTTCCCACCTCAGGACCTTTGCACTTGCTGTCCCTCTGCTGAGGATGATCTCCCCCAAGCTCTCTCCCCTCATTGGAGGGGACTCCTCTCTCTGCCTCCTTTAGGTCAAATGTACGTGGGCATTCTTTGTGCTGTTTTCTTTTTTCAAATTTTCTGTGAAGTCAAAATTTTTAAATTAAAACATGAAACTGATGGGAAAGGACATAAGTCAAATCCTATGGTTCCCAAAGTAATAAATACATTTTTTTCTGTTGAAAGAATAAATGTTAGACCATCCAAGCTGTGCTCCCCAGGCTCCCCCAGGTGGCCTGGGACAGTGGTCCCACCCCATCCTTGGAAATGTATAGCCCCGTCTGAATTTGTACGTGGCCGTCACCCACAGGCTAAGAACACGCGATTTTAAAGCTGACCGAGCTAGTGTCACAATCTTGCATGACAATGTGAATCCCAGGTCTTTAACTTGTCACCAGGATCGGCTGTCCGGGGTCACCAGAGGTTCCCTTGGACAGAAACGCTGGGACATCAGTCTCTCCTTCATTTGCATGCTTCTCGGGGACTCTGTTGTTATATTTTTTAAGTAGAGTTCAAATACTTAATTGTTAATAAGGTGCCAACGTTTACACAGAGTGTTACAATAAAAAAAAATGCTTTGTGGTCGTTCCAACACCAAATGCGAATAGACCTCGTCAAAGTCGCACGGAGGCTCATTCCCAGCACACCCAGGGCAGCGCAGACATCGCCATGGCCGCGCCGGTGAAGGAGCCAACTCATGCTCCCCGAGGGAGGGGCGCAGGCTGCCCCCCTGTGCATCACCGATGGCTGGAAGTGGGGTGGATAAAGCAGTGACCAGCAGGATTCAAAGGAAGGGAAGGCGTATCCTGTGACAATGAGTAATTCAGTTCTGCATCTCGGTCCTCTTCCAGCTCAGCACCTGCTAATGAACGCGGAGCAGCATTTGCACGTGCTGATCATTTAAAGTAACCAGCTCACCTGAGTGGAAGAAACTGCTCAAAGCTTTTCCGTTTCTGTGACTCATCAGGGCCAATCATGTAGACAGTGACCTGTCTTCTCTGTAAGGCAGTGGTTCTCAACCTTCCTAAGGCCGCGACCCTTTAGTACAGTTCCTCATGTTGTGGGGACCCCCAACCATAAAATTATTTTCGTTGCTACTTCATCACTGTCATGTTGCTACTGTTATGAATCGTCATGTAAATATCTGATATGCAGGATGGATTTTCAGTGTTACAAATGGAACATAATGAAAGCACAGTGATTAATCATAAAAACAATATGTAATTCTATATGTGTTTTCCGATGGTCTTAGGCGACCCCTGTGAAAGGGTCATTCGACCCCCAAAGGGGTCGCGACCCACAGGTTGAGAACCGCTGCTGTAAGGTCTTTGGGAAGGACCAGATAAAGAAATTTCAGGTTGCCTGCTTCTATTTTTTTAATATATTTTTATTGATTTCAGAGAGGAAGGGAGAGGGGGAGAGAGATAGAAACATCAATGATGAGAGAGAATTGTTGATCGGCTGCCTGCTGCACGCTCCCCACTGGGAATCAACCCTGCAACCCGGGCATGTGCCCTCGATCAGAATCGAACCCAGGACCCTTCAGTCCGCAGGTTGACGCTCTATCCACTGAGCCACACCGGCTAGGGCTCCCTTTTTCAAAGTAACAGCAAACTCCAAACGCTGCTCTGCTTCAGGCGCGTCCCCTTTCTCCACGGGCCATGCACACACCTGCATTCCCAGGGGACGCTCTGAATAAACAAGGACTCCCCGTGCCACTTCGGGGACACTTTATTTGGTGTCTGACTCTACGGCACAGTCCTTAGTAACAGGGAGAGCAACAGAGAGGCCGACATGCCTGGTTAGAGAACACCTTTTGCATTGGGTGTTCAGGTTTATTTACATATAAAACTGATTCTGAAAGAATCCAGTAAGTTGTACAAATGTCTAAAGCAGCGGTTCTCAACCTTCTGGCCCTTTCAATACAGTTCCTCATGTTGTGACCCAACCATAAAGTTATTTTCGTTGCTACTTCATAACTGTCATGTTGCTACTGTTATGAATCGTCATATAAATATCTGATCTGCAGGATGGTCTTAGGCGACCCCTGTGAAAGGGTCGTTCGACCGCCAAAGGGGTGGCGACCCACAGGTTGAGAACCGCTGGTCTAAAGCCTTTGGTTCTGGAAAAAGGAAACAAAAGCATTCCTCTGAAAAGGGCCGATTCCATCTCCACAGCCCCGTCTGCGCATCTTGCTCATCAGATCACCTGGGAAATTGCCGAAGTTCTGCATTTGGTTACAGGCAATACCTTCCCAATCCCCACGCACGTGCTTTGTTAACAAGGAGTGAGGGGCGCTCGGGAGCATGTTCCCTATGGAGGTGGGCCGGTGGGCGGAGTTCAGGCTCTGGGGGGAAGGCAACTGGCTCTGGTGGTCCCCATGGCAAACGCCCCCATCCTTGACCTGCACCTGCCTGCCTGACCCTGGCCTTTAGTGGAGGCCAGCCTGCACTCCACAACTCATTGGCGGTTCAACTTATGAAGGGAAACAAGGTTAGGCTATTTATGTCAAGAACCAGTCCCAACTGTTCCCCGTGAATCCATAGACACCCTGCGCTAAGCACTGGGGAGAAAGACACAACTCCCCTTGGTGACCTTGGCCCAGAGTCAACTACCCCTCATCCCATGGCCTCGGATGGAAGAGGAGGCCATTCTTCGGTGTCACTGACCGTTGGCTGGCTGTCCACTGTTTTGTGGCCCCTTTTGAAGCCCCTTATTTCAGCTGAAAGGGCATCCGGGACTATCTACACCCCGGCTATGACTAATGCTCTGTGCGAGGCCCCGTGGGAGTAAGAGGGGAATTATGTGAGGCAATCCTAGAATTTCAAGTCCAGGAAAATCCAGCTTCACTTGCATTTGTTCCATGGAAACCCGATAACAACACTCATATTTGGCTCTGTTGCTCAATACTTACGGGCTGTGAATGAGACAACTAAGTTCATTCTATTGTAAGAAGGGACACTGAATTCTCTACTACAGGCGGTGTATTTCCACACTGAAGTGGCTATCTGATATGATTTTGGAGGGGCAATTCCCAAAACAAGTTTTCCATCGTTTGGCAGCATGATCTGACAAACTTTAAACACATCCACTAGAAGTTCTCATAGAAGCCCACTGTTAGCTAGGTGTTTATCCGAGATGAACATTTTTATTGGGGCTAAGAAATGACGGATTCTGACTGGGAATTCTCTGTCACATCCGAGAGAGAGCGGGAACTCTAAGGTTAGAAGAGAGTCTTCAAAGAGGCTCAGCAAGCAAGGGTAAAGAGGACGGGGAGGACAGTGACAGGAACACAATGATGGCATCCAACACAGCAGACAACACTTCCCTCCCAAGAACCAACCCCGCCTTCCTCACTAAGAGAATTGAAATATTAGTCACGCCTTGCTAAACAGTCTTTCCCAGACTCCCGTGCAGAGGGGGCCACGTGACAGAATTCTAGCCAATGAGGAAAGCTGGGCATCTCTGGGAGAGCTGTGCTTTCTTGAGATTATTAGCATTGCACCTGTTACTTGCCTCTTCCTGCTTAGAAAGCAGACATGGCACCTGGCAGTTCAGTAACCAGCTTGTGACTATGTGGCAATAAACCAAAGGACAAAGGATGTTAGAAAACATACCAAAGAGTGTAGACCAGTGATGGCGAACCTTTTGAGCTCGGCGTGTCAGCATTTTGAAAAACCCTAACTTAACTCTGGTGCCGTGTCACATATAGAAATGTTTTGATCTTTGCAACCATAGTAAAACAAAGACTTATATTTTTGATATTTATGTTATATATTTAAATGCCATTTAACACAGAGAAATCAACCAAAAAAATGAGTTCGCGTGTCATAGGTTCGCCATCACTGGTGTAGACCCTCGATGATATGATGAGAGTCCTGAGTGCCCAACCCCAGGTTTCCTATTCAGCTCGTCACTGTTCCTTGGGTTTCCTATGATTTGCGGCCAAATGCACACCTGGTACATCAATACCCAATGATGAGATTGAGAAGGATGAGGGTGACTCCGTGAAAAGGGAAGAACAAAGGCTAAAGAGAAAGAGCGAACGGGGTAACTCTTACTCACACTGATCACAGTGGACCTAAAACACCCAGCTTCATTCCCGCTCGCAGAAAGGACAGAAGTCCTCCCTAAGGGAATCACTGCCTCATTACGAAGATGCCCAGTGCTCAGACTGGCTGTGTAGGATCTAACTCTGCCCTTCTGTGCTTTGATTGCTGGTATGAGAGTGCATGCTTAGACATTAAAGCTGGGCAGTTTGCATCCTACAGAGAAGAGAATGGAACAGATTTAGAATCAATTTGGTATTTCTCTTGCAATCCATTTGGAGGAGTTCCCACTGAGAAGTCATATGCCTCGCCCTCTCAGCAGCGTATTTAATAAGATCGGGGAAGAAAAAGAAGTAGTCGCACTGGGTAGCCTGCTCTGACTCCTGTCTAGGCTATTTGGAAATTGACGCACACGTACGCCAAGCTGGCAGCATATAAGATGTGTCCCATGGAAAGGGCTGGACTGATCGATATGTAAGACCGCACAGGCAACAGCAATAAATAAATGAAACAAATGCAATGGGGATGCCAATCAGTGACTGGGTGAGTACATTCTCATAATAAGGATGAATCCCTTTGCCTGGAAGGGAATACAGTGCAGCACTAAACGCTCCAATGCTCCGTCGGGCTGGCCCAAGGTGCTGGTCTTGCATAGAGAAATGATTTCTTCAGACTCATCATAACAGGTGAGCCTGATGTTGGTTTAGAAACTGATGGCTAAGCAAATAGACTGAGAACAGGAGCGAGAAAGGGGATGTTCATGCGTGACCCCATACTTGCAGCTTTCACTATGTTCACACTTAAATTCTTTTCCTTTTCCAACAAAGTAAGTGCAAATACATTTAGTCCAACTCAGTAACATAGCAGCAAAACTTCAGGAACCAATGAATAAGGGCACTGGCACCCCGATACCCCTCTGCCTTTGGGACTCAAAGCTTCAGAAACACCAGCCTTGAACAGAAGGGCAAACATTTCTTGATTCGGCATTTGTGTTCCATCGTCCACACCCACCCACCTGCCCCCGTAGCAGTTAGTAAATTCATTAACAAACACAATTTGAAACTCATAAGGAGTTAAAGCTATAAAATGCCTACTCATTGGTGTATTTTTTTAACAAACGTTTCATCCTTCTTCCCTTCCTTTCAAACAAAGCTTCTGGGTCATTCATTAGGATAATAACATATCACTTGTTTACTTCTTTTAAAATGACACAGTTGTGTTTTTCTCAAAACGACTGCCATCTTGTTTCTAATTAAACATGATGGATTCAGGGTCCTGGTTTGCCATCTGGGCCATATGTCTCAGAACATCCTTTTTTGTGATGATGCCAAGAAGTCTCCTGGAGAAGAAACAAAATAGAGAAAAGAGGTCAACCTCGCAATACCAACTCATGCCTTTCCCGGAACACCAGTGCCTTTATCACCTGGGCACACCGAGAGACGACATTCCCCAGCGTCCCTTGCGGGTGGGTGCGGCCAGCTGAGTGAGCCCTGGCCAATGGAGTGAGTATGGGTAGACATGAGAGGTGCCCCTCCCGGGCCGCCCACACATTTCCTCACACTCTCTCTCCTCAGCTGCCAGGCAGAGGCAGAGGAGCCAGTGAAGGACTCTGAGGTCACAAGGGATTGACAAGGAGCCACCAGGTTCAAAGACCTGCGTCCTGGAATGACTGTGTTGCAGACCCCACGCCTGCTGCGACTGATACTGGATATAATTTGGGAGATAAGTAAACCTGACACATCCGGCCACTGAGATTACAAACTTGTTTATTACAGCAGTAAACCTACATACGATGCCTGATATACACTCCTAAATTTTAAAACTATACTCAATAAAATAAAAGTGCTTATGAAAGCCATTGTCAAAACTTGCCCACACCATGGAAATTCTAACCATAAGGTTTTGTGTTTTTTTTTTAATCCTTACCCAAGGATATTTTTTTCATTGATTTTTTTTTTTTTAGAGAGAGTGGAGGGGGGGGGGCGCGAGAGCTAAAGAGAGCGAAACATCAATACATCAACTGTTTGCCTCCCACACGTGCTCAGACTGGGCCCGGGGATCAAACCTGAAACCCAGGTACGTGCCCTTGACCTGGAATTGAACCCGAGACCCTTTGGTGTTCAGGCCAACACTCTAACCACTTAGCACACTGACCAGGGCCCAAGTATAAGGTATTTTAAGTATAACAACTGATTCTACTTTAAATCTATCTTACTAGAAGGGGAAAGTTTGACATTCATCTCTGACCATATATGTAAATTACCTCCTCTTCCAAAATGCCATTGCTTTCAACTTACAGAAACAATACCACCTCCCAAGGTCGCTTGTACTGGGCCACCTAGACAATGTATCGCACAACTCCAGGAGCACTGCTCACAAACACTGCAATGCACAAGTGCCCCTAGAATATGCGGTGCACACTTGGACAACCATTCACGACAGCCCTTGCCTCTCTCTTGATTCTATTAAATATTTAAGTGGCCACCTGCTGGAACAAGTCACGCCCTCTAGGTACAGTGAAGGGCTTGAAAGAAGGGGATGTACACAACTTCTTTGGAGAAAAGAAGTTCCATTACCAAATTCGTTTGCAAAATGCTGCTCACTGTGTCTCCATCATACCCAGGAAAAGGGGAATGGAGAAGTGAACTATGTCAGGACACCGGGACACTGAATAGCTATTAAATGACAGGCTTCTCTGCATCTGTGTAAAATGATGAATACACACAAAAATCAGAAAGCACAATTGTAATACACTGTCATTTATCTAAGTAAAGCCAAATTAGTCAAACTCAAACTCATCTGTTACTAATAGAAAGTAAATATTCAAAGGGAATTCAAGTATTCAGAGCAATGTCCAAGTCAGTGACATCTGGTGAGATGCACACTGGTTAGTGAAACTGTCAAGCCAGAATTCTGACTTTTGTCCCTGATCACACTGGAGCTTAAAAAAGTGACTGGTTTATTGTGTTAGTTTTCCTTCTGTCACGCTAGGGGAGACAGCAAATACTACGTCTTCCCCTCCCTCTCATGGGAGCATCTTCAGGAGAGAGGAAAACAGCCAAAAGGGCCTTTGAAAGCATGCTAAGCAAAAATAATAATGACCACATGGATGACAACACACTGAAAGACAGCGTCATGACTATCATGATAACCAAAAAATGAAGAACAATGTAGAGAGCGGAATAGAATTAGAAAACCAGTATTTTGCACCCCCAATGTAATAACGAGGTTAGCCAATAATTATCATCAATGAATTCCAAAACCGCTGGGTAAATGGTTGCTAGAACCAGAAGATTCACATGGTCTCAAAGGATCCGGCCACCGATGACGTACAAAGAGAAAAATGTCCCTTTCCAAACGAGGTTCCGGCCATCAGCACCCCATCCGAGTGATGGAGCTTATCACCAACAAAGTCAGAAAGGCTGACATCATGACATCATCTACTTTGAAATGTTGCCAAAAACCACTTAAACCAAGTCAAACCATGAGGAAGCAATCAAACATATTCAAAATGTGAGACTACTGGTCTGGTCTCTTTAAAAAATATGTGTCACAAATAACAAACAAAAAAGAGGCAGGGAAGTATTTTAAACAAACATCCCCAATAGAATATTGTTCGGGCTAAAAAGAAATGAGCTATCAAGTCAGGTAAAGACATGGAGGAACCTTAAAGGCATACTAAGAGAAAGAAGCCAATCTGAGAAGGCTGTGCGATTCCAATTCTATGACATTCTGGAAAAGACAAAACTAGGGAGACTGAAGGACACATATGTAATACCTTAATCAATAAAGAAAAAAAAGACACAACAAAAAGAAAAAAAACTAGGGACTGTAAAAGATCAGTGGTTGCCAGGGGAGTGGGAGGGTGGGAGTGTTCAGGACAGGAAAACTCCTCTGTGTGATACTATAATGGTGTGTACATGTCATTCTCCATTTGTCAAAACCCACAGAATGTACACCACCAAGAGTGAACCCTAATGCAAACTATGAACCTTAGTTACTAATACTGGATCGATAGATCAATGGCAACAAATATAACCCTCCGATGAAGATGTTAACAAGAAGGGAAACTGAAGGAACGAGAGAGGGAATATGGGAACTCTATCTATACTCTCTGTTTAACTTTTCTGTAACCCTAAAACCACTCTAAGAAATAAAGCCTATTAATTAAAGCAAACAAAACGCATGGAGGGGGAGGGGTTGCCTGAGAGGAGGGGTTAGTGAAGAAGGATAAAGCCAGGAATTGTTGTGGGGTTTTTTTGTTCACGTTTTTTAATATATTTCTATTGATTTCAGAGAGGAAGGGAGAGGGAGAGAGAGAGAGAGAGATAGAAACATCAATGATGAGAGAGAATCATGGATCAGCTGCCTCCTGCACGCCCCACACTGGGGATGGAGCCCGCTACCCGGGCATATGCTCCAACCAGGAATTGAACCTTAACCTCCTGGTTCATAGGTCAACACTCAACCACTGAGCCACGCCGGCTGGACAATGTTGTTTTTCATTCTAGCTGTTTAGAGCTACTTGACTTTCAACATGTTCATATGGTACTTTAAATACATTTCTGAAATTGATCCAAATGCAGTCCAACTGATGGTGCCCCAGAAAGCAAGATGCTGTTATACCGACTCGGCCAAGCTGAGTCTGAGTCCTGGCTGAGCCTGCTCAGGCTGCCATGGCAAAGCACCACACACCGGGTGGCTTAACAACAAAACCTAGTTTCTCGCAGTTCTGGAGACTGGAGGGCCAAGGTCAAGGTGCTGGCACGTTTGGTTTCTGCAGCAGCCTCTCTCCGTGGCTTGCAGACACCCGCCTTTCTGCTGTGACCTCACATGGCCCTTTTCTCTGTCCCAGCATCCCTGGTGTCTCTTCCTCTTTTTCTAAGGACACCAGTCCTATCAGATGAGGGCCTCACTCTTATGACCTCACTGCACTGTAATCACCCCCTTAAAGACCCCACCTCCAAATACAGTCACACTGGGGGGGCCGGGCTTCAGCACAAGAATTTGGGGTGTGGGGGGAGGACACAATTCAGGATGTTCCTTAAGATGAGCTCTTTGGCTTTACTTGTTAAACATTTTTGAGCCTTCTCCAGTCCTCAGCCCAATACATGCTCAGGACGATGATTAAAACAATGCTGCTCGGGAAAAAATGACTTGTTAGTGTTTGCAAAGTGCTGAGAACTCTACTGCTTCAGCACAAGAATTTGGGGTGTGGGGGGAGGACACAATTCAGGATGTTCCTTAAGATGAGCTCTTTGGCTTTACTTGTTAAACATTTTTGAGCCTTCTCCAGTCCTCAGCCCAATACATGCTCAGGACGATGATTAAAACAATGCTGCTCGGGAAAAAATGACTTGTTAGTGTTTGCAAAGTGCTGAGAACTCTACTATAACACACCACACACACACACACACACACACACACACACCCCACCACCACACGAGCGGCATCTTTTCTAATTCACATAAAGGCACCTGATGAGCCAGCAGCAGCCTTGCAGAGATGGGTCCATCTATGGACCTTCCCACCAAGTCCCCTGGCTGGTGAGTCACTGAGTCACTCCCAGAAGTGACTGGACAAACCCTTAGCCAGCTGTTACAGCACCAAGCAGAGGAGGAAAGAGAAATCATTGGGAAGCCAGGACACAGGAGTCGATTTCACACACACACACACACACACACACACACACACACACACACGCACCTCCCACGTCCCTCCCACGTCTGTAAAGCCTGGTTTGTATTTCCTTATCTTCACCCTGGAGACAGCATCAAAGATCAGGCATCTGCCTAAAGCAGTCCTGACAACCTCCCCTTCGAGCTCTGGGGCTACGATGTCTGAGAGTCACGCCGGGTGCGATGGTTCTGGGGAAACACATGCAGCAGCTGCCTCAGCTGCCTGGGGTGCCTGGGGTGCAGGCATCAACGGGGCCCGGGCCCGCAACAATCATTATCGCAGGACACCGCACAGCCACCCGGAAGGAGGCGACATCAAAGCCGGCAGGGATCAGCAGAGCCGGGAAATGTCCTATTTCATTTACATCAAGAGCTTACACTTCCAGCCCCTTGGGGTAGCAGTTCAAGTGAGTCCGGTGACTGGTAAACGGCCGATCTATCTGCTGGAGGCACCGAGCTCTTCCGAGGAGGCCGCCCAGCAGGACTTGGGGCCGCTGACACCATCTCCCCGGCTTGCTTGTCCTTCCTCGGTCCCGTGGACGGAAAAGCCCGCCCGAGTCACTCTTGGCCCCTGGAGGCTTCCTAGACGCCGGCACTCAGGGCACAAAGACTTCTCTGGTTCCCGGTCTGCTTTCCCAAAGACCCTGGACCCCGGGCCCTG